TTTTATATCATTTTTATGAAATACTATTACTATTAATCAGAAAAATATATTTTTATATTATTATATACATATAGAGTAAATTCGATAGAGTAAAATAGGGTAATTTCGCCACTTCAGAAATTTCGCCACCAATTTGTTTATATCTACTTTTATAACTGTAAATTTACTCAGGAATAAGATTTTTTTATAATTCAAATTTCTATTTTATATAAAAAACAAATCTCTGATCAAATTATGTAAAAAAAAATCTTCTTTTTTTGAAAACTTGATAAGAAAATTAATTGCCAAAAATAATTAAAAAAAAATAAGAAATTTAAAATCCTCATAAAAATCAAATTATTTATTTCCATTCAAAATTTAAAAGACTACAATATTGGAAATTTTTCAAAGAATTTTTATTTTCTAATTTTGATCGGTTCCAAAGTTATTACGGAAATACTAAATGGGGGAATTTCGCCACCTATTTATATTAAATAGAAATGCACTTTGATTGAATAATTAATACCCTCTCCATCTTTTTGTTTTGATAATTAATTTCTTTTTTTTTTTTTTTTTTTTTTTTTTTTGCCGTTTAATATTACAATAACTAAATATATTTTACAATTTTTTACATTAGTAACGACAGGACTTCTAGAAGATCATAAGGATCTTGTCATGAAGCCCTTTACAATATATGGTAAACTTTTAATAAAAATACTATGTCTGTAGTGAAATAATAATACAACTCTATGCAAAAATATTTAAAAACCAAGATAAAATGTTAAAAAGCCAAGATAAAATTTTAAACCAAAAAATATACAAAATAAAACAACAACAAAAACAAAACAAAAAAAATATTTTCAATTAAAAATATAATTTTTTTAAGTTTCTGTTTGAATGAAGCAAAAGTCAGTTGGGTTGAAAAATCAAAGTTTGGTTAGACTATTTTGTTCCAGAGATAAGGACCTCGGTGTTTGCTTTTACGACAAAAAGGGGCAATAAGACTGTTATTAATTCGAAAATTATATTTGTTTTCAGGTTTCATACAATAAAAATTTTGTAATACATTTGGCGACAAATTTTCTCTACATTTAAACATGAAACATAAAATATTAAAGACATTTAGTTGATATACATTTAAAATATTCATTTCTTTAAAAAGTTGTTTCGTGTGAAAAAACCGATTTTTAAAATTTATTACGCGAGTTTCGTGTTTCTGATGAAGGTAAAGAGATTTTAGCTTTGTTCTGTGAGTGCTTCCCCATATAATATTCGCGTAGTTTATATGACAATGTATAAATGAATAATATAATTGTGTTAACTGGTGTTCACTTAATATATTTCTTGCTTTATAGAGAATTCCGATGCATTTAGCAATTTTATTGGAGGTATTATCAATATGATTTCTCCAAGATAGGTTTTCATTAATATATACTCCAAGAAATTTAGTAACTTTTTCTCTTTTTATTATTATATTATCAATAAGAAGGTCTGGCATGATATGGGGCAGTTTCTGGTATTTTAAAGGTGGATAAAAAAGTGTCCATTTATTTTTTTCTATATTTAGAGACAATCTATTTTGTTTAAACCAAACAGAAATTTTTTCAATTCATTTGTCATATTTGTAAAGAGCATATTAATATCTTTATGAGACAAAAACAAATTTGTGTCATCTGCAAAATTTATTGTTGTTAAATTTGATGATTTATGAAGATCATTTATGTATATTAAAAAAATAAGAGGACCAAGTATGGATCCTTGTGGAACACCACATGTTATATTCATTAATAGATGAGATATAGAATCTTTATTGTGAACAAACTGTTTACGATTAGTAAGATAACTTTCAAACCATAATAAGGTTTTATCTTTAATACCATATGAAATTAGTTTTTTTAACAGGATTTGATGATTGACCTTGGACAAATCAATAAAAAAAAAAAAAAAAAAACACTCCTAGTGTAAAACAAGAGTCTTTAAATGAGTCGGTTATATTGCGTGTAAGTTGAAGAATGGCATGCTCGGTTGAATTATTTTTTTTGAAACCAAATTGGTTTTCGTATAGAATTTTCAATAGAATTTTTTTTTTCAACAAGATAAGAGTAGATTTGGTTGTACATTATTCTTTCTAAAATTTTTGAAAAAACTGGAAGAACTGAAATAGGGCGATAATTTGTTATATTTGTACGATCCCCTGTCTTGAAGATTGGAGTTACTTTTGCTATTTTTAGTCTATCTGGAAAAGACCCTTGTGAAATGGATGCTCTGGAGATTTTATAAAGAATATCTTTATAACATCGTATGAATCAATCACAATATTTGTGTTAATATCATCATACCCAGTAGCTTTATTTCGTTTTAATGACTTAAAAGCAACCTCAAATTCATTAAAAGCTAACTCAGTAAAATTTAGATTAGAACTTATTGATGTTTCGAACTCATAAACATACTCATAAATACGATCGCTTAATTTTGTCCCGATAGTGGAGAAAAACTTGTTAAATTCAAATGCAATATCATTTATTAATTTGTTTTCAATTTGTATAAAATTAGGGAGTAAATTTTTATTTAGTTTACGTTTTCCAGACACCTCCTTCATGATTTGCCAGACGCGTTTTGAGTTGTGCTTATATTTATTAAGCAAGTTTGAATAGTAGTTTTTTTTTGCATTTTTGCGAAGCTTTTCAAATAAGTTTTTATAAGTTTTAGAATTTTGTTTATGTTTTTCTGATTTTGATTTTAGGTATTTAATGTATAGCTTCTGCTTAGTTTTTGATGATTTTCTGATACCTTTAGTAATCCAGGGAGATGACATTTCTTTATCGCTTAAAACTATTTCAATTAAAGGAAAGTTGGAATCATACACTTGGTAAAAAGTTTTGAAAATATTGTCGTAGATTATATTGATATTACCATTAAAGTTAATATAACCCCAATCTATATGTGATAATCCATAAAGGACGTCATCCAAATAGAGGGGGGGGAGGGGGTCGAGTTAAAAAGGATAATAAAGGACAAGGGGAGGGGGGAGGTTGTCAGAAAAGGACGTCACTTTATAGATTTTTTATTTTAGTTTAATTAACATGGAAAACTACGTAAACATGTGTTTTTGAGAAGATAATGTATGAGAATATTTTTTATTTTATTTTTCAAAGGTGTAGCAGCAGATTCAAACATCATCGTGAAATAAATTTTTTTGGAGTTAAAATAAGGGGGGGGGGGGGGTTCAGGATTTTATGACGTCCTTTTTAAGGGGGGTATAGGGGAAAAGGACAACCGGTGACAAAGGAGGGGGGGAGGGAGTCAAAAATTGGTTAAAAAATGGTGACGTCCTTTATGGATGGCCCCTTACTATTGTTGATAAGCCGTTTTTTTATTAATACCTTTCCCTGCTTCTCTTTTTTTAAATTAACACATATAGAAAAAAAAAATTATATTTTTTTTCTTTTCAAGATCAGTTTTCTTTATAATGTTATTTAGTAAAAAAGTGCCAAAGTTTTCAATTCTTCCAGTTGGTGGCCCGTAACAACAGCTTATTAGTATATTTTTTGAACGCTTATTGATAAGTTCTATTGTTAAAATCTCTTTGTTTTTATCAGAAACACACATTTCGCTTCGAACTTTATACAGAAGGTCATTTTTAAAAAAAAATAAAACTCCTCCTCATCGTTCTTCGTTCTAAAATTACTGGATCAAAACCTGGGAGATGGAGGTTTGAGTTATTTTTAAAATCTGCATGTAAACACCAAACAAATTAAATTAAAAGAACTTTCCGCTTCGCTAATAAAACTTAATGAGTTTTCAAATTTCTTTTTTAAGCTACGTATATTAATGTGGACTGCATTAAGATAATCACTTTTATTTTCGCTTTTTAAAATTTTGCTCACGTTACTAGGATAAAAATAAGAGGTTTCAAATTCAGGAGAATTAATTTCATTAAAGTAATTAATATCCGGATCGGATTCGTCGTCTAAGTGTAATGCATGGGTTTCAAATAAATTAATTATTTTTTCAAAATCATTATTATTCGTTTCCATTTTCGCTATAATTTAGATTTGGCAGTAAATAATAGTGTGCGACGTGTTGAAAGTCTTTTAGGAAGACTTAGTGATTAATTTATTGCATACCACTTGAGCATATAACGTATATTTAAATATAATGTAAATAAATAAATAAAATAAAAAAATTACTTTTTTTTTGCATTCCACAGCTTGTTGTAGGAAATATATGCAAATTTTCCCGATTGTCTTTCAATTTTCATTTTCTCTCGCAAGTCTTTTCTTATTCGATTTGTTTCCGCGCAAAAATCTTCATTGATAAAAATATTCTTTCCTTTTAATTTTGAAGAATTTCTTAAAATTGCTTCTTTATCTTTAAAATCCAATAATTTCACAACAATTGTTCTGTGCTTTTTTATATCTTGTTTACCAGCTCTATGCGCTCTTTCAATTTTTACATCTTTTATGCCCAAATACTCATCAAATATTTTTTTAACTTTCATTTCGCTTTCTAGCCAGCTTTCATTATCATCTTCTTTAACTCCTTTAACTCTTAGATTGTTCCTTCTTGATCTATCTTCTATTTCTCTTAGCTTGCTATTTATTTTTTTGAGTTCAATGTTGTTATTTTGAATTTCGTTGTGAGTAGGTTTATTTTTTATGAAAGTATCTAACGCAGTTTTAATTTTGTTTTCAATGAGTTCCTCATGAAAATTTAAACTAACTTTTAATTCTTCAACTTCTGTTGCAAGTGTTGATATTTTTTTAGCGTTTTCTAAAATATTTTTTTCTACTTTGTCCAATCTCTCGTTTAAGATTTTGGTGTTTGCACTAACGATGTTTATAAAGTTGTTTTCTTGTTTTCTCAGGTCATGTTGGTCTTATAATCATGTTATAATAATAATTTCTCAGGTCATGTTGGTCTTATAATCATATAATAATAATGTTGGTCTTATAATTTCTCAGGTTATGTTGGTCTTATAATCAATTCAAATTAATTGAATCGATCAATTATCAGCAAAAATGCCGCGAAACTATAAGAGAAAATCCGTCACCAATTATAGCGAAGAACTAATGGAAAAAGCCATTACAAAAATTAAAGCTGGCGAATTGAGTTGCAAGCGAGCTGCAGATTTATACTGTATACCTCGAAAGACACTAGGAGGAAGAATTCAATATCCAGAAAGGGTAGCTAGGGCTGGTACATTAACAAATCTCCTAAAATGTCCTACATTTCTAAAAAAAAAAAAAAAAAAAAAAAAAAAAAAAAAAAAAAAGGTAAAAAAGGTGGAATGGGAAACATGCCCCGATACCTCTCGATATCGATAGCCGTTAGTTTTATTGAATATTGTTAGATTTCTTTTATTCAACTGATTGTAAATGTATTTTTAAGGTTTATACTTTAAAATAAAAAATTTATGTTGTAAACAACATAGGTGGCGAAATTCCCCTAAGTTAGATTTTAATGGGGTAATTTCGCCACCCCATTTTTTCTATTCTAATTATTTAAAAAAAATTAAATTATGTAAAGTTTATAAAAGTATTATTAATAATAGAAAAAAATTATATTTTCATTTTTAGTTCTTAAGTTATTTAAATTGAAAGAATTATAGGCGAAATTACCTCATCTTACTCTTCTCTTTTTTTTTTTTTTGACTTAAGACAACTATCAAATATTTTTTAATCAAAATTCGTTGAAATACGGTACAAATATTTGTTTGCAGTTATTTTTTTTAAAAAAAATTTAATTTACCCGATGAAGTCATTTACTTTGAATTATTAAAACCTTTTTTCCGATTCGTTTTAGATGTAATATCAAAATTTTTATCACAAAAACAAAAATAATTGTTTGAAGATTCAAACCTGAATAAACAACTTTATCACATAAACTTTATCAACATTAAATAAAATCCAAAGGAATTACATCTAAACAGATATGGGGTCGTCCATAAATTACGTCACGCACTAGGGGGAAGGGGTTAGTGGTTTTGTGACAATTTGTTACGAGGGGGAGGGGTATCCGATTTTGTGACGCAACATTTTTTTATATAAATAATGTAAGCATTAGTTGATGATTGTTGTTATATATATGATAATTGTAAGTTGCTAAATAAATATATGACAGAACTGATTTTTAAATTGTAAGAACGGCTAAGAATTAACAAAATCAAAAACTTTGAATATTGGACTACTTTATTTGTCATTAGAAACAAAAAATCTATTCAAACAAACAAAACTTTGAAAAAGGGGTTGTTTACAAATTATGTCACCCAATTTTCTACCTTTTAAACCCCTATTCTCTAGTCAAATCATTGTAACTTTTATCACAAAATTGTTATCACAAAACCACTAATCCAATCCCCCCCTCCTATATCCCTAAACCGTGACGTAATTTACCCCCCGGTTCGGATATCTTAAAGATTACATCTAATGTTAAAATTATTATATTAAATAATGTAAAGATTTATTATATTTCATGTAAAAAACTCAAATTAAAAAAAAAAAAAAAATTTTTTCCGTCTATTCGAAGCAATTTTAATTCCCTAACGAGCTAATAGCTCGTTAAGGAATTAAAAATTGTTTTGAATAGGCGGAACCTTCTTAAACGGTGGCTCACAGTGTTGTAATATTTAAAAAGTATGCGCTTTTAAAAATCAAATTCTACATATAATCTTCTCTACGTGTTGTTTTGTCTTAGTAATTTACTTGTTGTTTTGTTTTTCAAAATCGAATAAAGAATCTTTATTTTTGTTTTTTATTTTTTATCGTTAACAATTTTTTTATAATCAAATTGGATCGAGGCGTTTTATACAAATAACTATACGAAAGATTTGTAAAAGCTTATGGCCATTCTAAGTCAAAACAAAACTGCCAAAAAGAAATAAATATCATATGGAATGAAATAAAAAATGATGAAAAACTTCCTGAAAAAGTAAAAGAATTATTAAACACATATTCAACAAAAGCAATGAAAGTAAAGGGAAAGTTGTTTAATTACTGGTCGTCAACAGCAACAAAATCCTCAATTTCTCACGACAAAGAAAACAAATCAAATCTTGTTGAAGTTGATAAATCAAAAACTTTATTTCACGTAGCCTCTGATGAAATTGACTTTGTAGCAGAACCATCTCAAGTAACCAAATCAAGTACTGCAGATTTAATTGTGCGATGTGCTAAGACGGAGAGAAAAGTTCAAGATTCACTAAAACAAGAAAATAATTTGATTAATGGAGATTTAATTGGGTTGATGAAGAGAAAAGAATGCGGACAGTTAACATCGGCGCAAGAAAATATGCTTATAGAAAAGAAGAAGAAGAAAAAAGAACTGGAAAAGAACTTAAAGAAGAAAAAAGATTCAATGTTGAGAAGCCGGAAGCTCAGAAGTAATTGGAGGGAAGGCTTAAAAAAGCTATGCAAATCATCTCCATCAGCAAAAAAGACTCTCCACCTTCAAATGACAAGTGGGCGTCCACGAATTGAAGAAGAACAACCGGATTTACTAAAAACTATTTGTGACATTGCTCTTTACGGTTCAGCAGCTCATGAAAAAAGAAGAGATGCTGTTGTTAGAAGTACAAAAACGTTAAGTGAATTGACTGAAACTTTGAAAGAGGTAATTTGTAGTTTTTATAATTAGGACTACCGTGAAAAAGTAAATACTTTGGCTTTATAGTATACTAAGCAAATTATCTCATTTAGTTAATTATTTATAAAACTTTTATTGATGAAGTTGTTTCTTTTTTTAATCGATTTAAGTTTTTTTGTCAAGTAGCTATTTAATTTACATTTGATAAGTTTATAGAAAAATAAACGCACCATTTAATTTATCGGTTTTAGGAAAACTAAATTTTATTTTTTTAAGCTAGGTTTTCAAGTTAGTAGAAGCGGTACTTATCTTCGATTGAATCCAAGAAACAGCGCAACTTAAGAAGGGAAGAGGCATATAAAAACTGTCCTAGTTAAGTTAATTAGATCCCAAAATGATAAGCATGCCAAACATATTGATAGGAAATTCTGTACAGAAACAATGAGGCGTCTTGAAGACATATCATCTCTCCTTGGTCCAAAAGAAGTTTTTTTTCTCAGTCAGGACGACAAAGCCAGGGTAATATAAGTTTTTTTATTTATCTAATTTTTCATATCAAGAAAAATTTAATCTGCATTATTATCACATTGTTTTAGGTTCCGATTGGATTGACTGCTGCAAATAAGCAAGCGCCGTTGCTTATGCATATGGAGTATAGAGTAACTCTAGCAGATCATGACTGGGTTATTGCTAATAAACACAATTTGACCCCATCTGTGTTTACTGCTATTGAAGTGCACTCAGATGGTTTAGGGAAACCGAGTTTTGTAGATCCGGCCCTACATATATAGCTCTTGATTTTAATAAATTAATTGACTTAAAAGAATTTCAGGATTTTTCTAAAAATGGTTCTTTTTTTAAACCAGTTGTCATCTCGACTGTAAATGGAGGTTGAGATGAGAACCCTCGTTATCAAAAGGTATTCTTTTAAGTAAATAAATTATATTAGCTTAGTTAATCCCATAATAAATTAAATATTTTTTATAGGTAATTGAGGTAGCAGTTCATCTTTTTCTTGAGCATGATCTAGATTGTCTATTTTTGGCTGCAAATGCACCAGGAAGGAGCGCTTTTAATCGAGTCGAGAGAAGAATGGCACCATTAAGTCGTGAACTTTCAGGCGTGATCCTACCTCATAATCATTATGGAAATCATCTTTACAATGCTGGTTTTACGATAGATAATACTCTTGAAAAAATAAATTTCCAGTATGCTGGTGAAACTCTTGCGGAAATCTGATCTAATGTTTCAATTGAAAAGTTTCCTGTAGTTGCTGAATTTATTGTTCCAGAAAAATCAGAAATCTTATCTAGTACTTTAAAAACCAAGAGCTTCTGACATAATCAGACAAGTGCCTACTTGTTTGGCTGCTCGTCGTCAAACTGAGCTTATGGCAATAACTTTATTTGAGGAAAACGGAGAGCATATCAATTGGATTGAAGAAAATGAATTAGATCTATCTAATATTCAAATCATACCAAAAGAAGATGTAGAAAAAAATCTTTCCTTGTCACTTTACACAATGGATGAACACTTCTGCTCACCTCGGACAAATGCTGAATAATATATTATATGTATGGTAATTTTAAAGATGAATTTGATAAATTTCGTTTGTGAAAAGTTGTTTTTTCTAAATTTTATTTTTATAATTATATTTAAAAAACCTTTGAATGTATTAAAACAAAGGCAAGTAAGCATGCTCACTGTTTATTTGAAGAGGGAGGAGGTACACAATTTTGTGTACCTCCTCCCTCTTCAAATAAACAGTAAGGGAGGAGGTACACAATTTTGTGACGCAGCAATTGTATAGGCGTTGTCCACAAATTACGTCACGCAATTTTTGAGCGTTTTGACTACCTCCCCCTCCCGTCACAACATCGTAATTTTTTAGTAATAAGTGCCATAATTACATGAATTAAAATGGGTTGTTAATAAACATAATTTATTAAGAACTCATTATAAATAAAGGGGCTTTAAATATATGCTAAACACTCCCAAAATTGCGCGTATGTAGCTTATTCACCATTATTAATGTACCATATAAAGGTGAGTTTCCACTCATCCGTTTTTTCACGGGAACGGGATAGGAAAGGGATAAATAATCATGTGAGCATGCGTAGTTTTTCAGACATTAAAAGTTATTCTACGCATGCCCACGTGATTATTTTTCCCGTCCCTTTTCCGTTCCCGTGAAAAAACGGATGAGTGGGGAAACTCACCTTAATCTTTTTTTTGAACTAAAGAATCATGTTGCAGATCAAAAGACCTGACCTAGCATTTTAATGATAGTTCAAGTCCTTTGATCATAGTTTCCAAATCTGCAAGACTAATGTGAGCTGTATCATTTTACAATACTTTGTCAAAATGAATCTATAGGTAGGTCTTTTTTAGATCAATTATCTCGAGGTTCTCTACCAATTTTCTTTCACTGCAAAACCTGGTACTGCAGACCATGATTCAGCTTATAATAGCCCATCAACTTAAAGTCTAGGTTGGTGGGCGTAAAACTGAAAAACTGTTGGAGATGTTTATTTTCAAAACTGAAAAACTGTTGGAGATGTTTATTTAGCAACATTTCAAATTAAACAACCTTTTTTTTTTTTTTTGTGCCGTTTCATATTTTTACAATAAAGACATATTACATTTATAAAAATTGGCCGGAGCAAGAAGAAGACAATGACTGTCTTATCACCGAGTCCCGTTTACAAATTGTCCGTGTTTATAAACAAATATGAATAAAATATACAAAAAAACGTACATAACTTTGCATAACTTAGTACATAACTTTTGTCAAATAATAAAATGACAATTAAATTAAAAATTTAAAAATAAAGAAAGTTTTGTATACTAATACAAATATATTTGATACATATAACAAAATATATTTAGTGCTAGTGGAAGCGTTTTTTCTATTTTAAAATTACCTTTATTCAAAAAAAAATATTTAAAGTCTATAGAATTAAAACCTAATTGAAGTAAGATTAGAGCAGCCGCGGCGCAGTGGTTAGAGTTCTGGCTCAGAGCTCAGAGGTCCGTGGTTCGATGCCAGCTCTAGCCCATCAAGAGACATTGGTACGGAAGGAGGCGTGAACTTCCTGTTAAATGCTCACCCGCGGTGCTCTATGATAAGACCGCAAGGACTTCTGGGAGCACCTAAATACATACAAAAAAAAAAAAAAAAAAAAAAAGATTCTTTTAGAAACTGTTTTAAATTTTTCTAAAGAGTAATGTTCTTTATTAAATTTTTTAATAAAATTTTTCCATAAAAAAGGCCCTCGACATTGAGTTCGAAAAGAACTTATTTTTAAATTAATTCTCGGAACAATAAAGTTATTCTCTGAAAACTTTGTTGGATACTTACGAGATCTTCCACTTAAATAAAATTGAAATAAAAGTGGAAATATTCCATGTTTTATATTAAACATGAAAAGTAATATTTGGTAAATGTTTAGTTTATAAATACTTAAGGCCTTGAGACGATTTAATAGTGGCTCGCAATACACAGTTCTGTTTACCTCAAATATAATCTTACTAGCATGCTTTTGTTTACTATAAAGTTTTTTGAGTTTTCCGTAAATCGTACTTCCCCATGCAATGTTGCAGTAAGAAAGATAGCTGTGAATAAATCGTTGCCTTAGAGGGCAGAGGTTCTATCTCTATGTTGTGCTCAAATTCAACTATGACTTTGGGGACATCTATTATAAGTGCTAGAATCAGATTAGGCAGCGGGTCTATCTCCACATAGTAGGAGAAGAGCAATAAATTTGTGCGAGTTTTGAGCTATCTACATTTGTGCGGAATCCCAAAAGGGCAAAGGTGTTATCTCCTTTGCCATCTGACTATACCGGAGATATCTTCTTTGCCCTATGACGTAATTCTTGAAAATGGCAGACGATAACAAACGAAATATAATGAATAAACAACCTTTTATTAAAACAGAGGTAATTTTAAATAGTTTTTTTCGTAATTCTAAGAATTCACCATGGAATTAAACAATGGTTCAAAAAAGCGAACTTTCACTGAACCAAAAATTGGACGCAAACAAGGCAAAAGACCAAATCCTTGGAAACGATTTGTTGAAAAAGACAAAAGAGAGAAAGCAATGGCATACAAGACACGAAAAGGTAAAGCAGTACCGCCCAAAACACCTAGAACGGGGGAACTGTTTAAAGTGCAAATTCAAGTGTGGAGAACATTTTGAAGAAACCAAACTACTAGAAATAAATAAACACTACTACCAACTAGAGGGTGAAAATAGAAAAAAAGATTTCATATGCCATTTAGTGAAAAGTAGCAATGTTTCACGTCATCGTAACAATTCAGGAATAAGACCAAAAACAATATCCTGTGCATATCATCTGCCAGTGGAAGTGAATGAAAACATTGTCATTAGAGTGTGTCAAAAATATTTTTCCACGACTTTGGACATAAGCAAGAAAACTGTTCAGTTTGTTGTAAAAAATAAAAATGAGATTGGTCTTTTCATACCACCAAATTCAAAAAAAGGAAAAACTCCAGCCAATAAGACTTCAGAAATGTGAACCAATGCAGTTTGAGAGCACATCCTCAGCTTTCCTCAGGTCGAATCTCACTACTGTCGGGCTTCATCAAAGGCAAAATACCTTAGTCCTGAACTAAGTATTGAGGAACTTTATAGACTATACAAAGATGATTATTGCACAACGGAAAAAATATCACAGATCCAGTTTCTATCGGTGTATATTGAAAAATATTTGTTACTGATTTTAATATAAAATTTTTTATTCCCAAAAAAGACCAATGCTCAATTTGCAATGCTTTTCGAGATGCCAGTGGTGATGACAAAGAAACGCTACGACCAAATTATGACAGTCATAAATTTTGTGAAAAGAAAGCTATGGACGAAAAAAATTCTGATAAGACTGCATCTGCTGCTGACAAGTCCATTCGTTCTATAACTTTTGACCTCGAAGCAGTGTTACCACTTCCATTTGCAGGTGATGCACAAATTTTCTATATGCGGAAACTTGCCGTTTATAATTTTACTATTTATGAAACGTCGACCAAAAAAGGAATTTGTTACCTATGGGACGAAAGTGAAGGTAAACGAGGAGCCAATGAAATAAATACAGCTCTGTTAGATTATATGAAGTCTCTTCCAGTTTCTGTGAAGAGGGTGACTTCTTTTAGTGACACGTGCTCTGGACAAAATAGAAACCAATTTATTGTTGCGACAATGATGTACATTGTTCAAACAACTCACCTGGAATGCATCGATATGAAGTATATGGAGTCGGGTCATTCTTATTTAGAAGTTGACTCTATGCGCAGTACTATTGAACGCAGTAAGAGCCATCAAAAAATTTACACTACACGAGAATACGAAGTTCTGATTGCTGCAGCGCGCAAGAATCCGTGTCCATATGTTAAACCACTGAAACACACCAATTTTTTTGACTCAAAACAACTTTGCGGTAAAATTGTGAAAAATCGTACAAAAAATATTAAAGGTGAAACCGTCAACTGGTTGAATA